TTCAATTTTAGGAACCTCCAATCCAACTCTAGAATAACACCAAGGCAAAAAGGAAAAATATGTTTATCTCTGTGCCTGATTCATCTACCAAACGGAAACCGAGATTAACCATAGCACCATCGATGGATATGTTTCCCAAATATAAAGGAACCCATCGTTTAACACCAAAGTAAATCGAAGAGAGAGATACCATTGGCAACGGCTCCGGACTTGCCATAACACACACTGGTTCCTCGTCTCTTCCCTCTAACTCTCGTCGTCTTAATCTTCAAAATATCCTTTATGTTCCCACCATGCATAAGAACCTCATCTCCATTCATCAGCTTTGTTATTCTAACAATGTTTCAGTGAATTCTTTTCTCGTTTCTTTCAAGTGAAGGATCTCAACACGAGGGCACCGCTACTAACCGAACCCCTTAATAGCGGTGCGTATGAATGACCGATTATCCATTCCTCGTCCGTGTCCTCTAATAAGCCCTCGGTTCTTGCTCTTTCGAGTGTCAAGACCTCTCTCTCCGAGTTGCACTCTAGATTGGGTCATCCATCTTAAGACGTTTTAAACTCTATTATTTCACGTTTGTCTCTTCCGTTGTCCTCTTTGTCGAGTCATCCATTGTCTTGTGATTCTTGTCTTAATATTAAAAGTCATAAACGTCCTTTTTCTACTTCCATGCTTACCTCATCTCGACCTCTTGAACTTTTATATTCGGACGTATGGACTTCGCCCGTCACCTCTTTTGACGGTTTCAAGTATTACGTTATCTTTGTTGATCATTTTACGCGATATATATGGATTTACCCTATGCGTCACAAATATCATGTTTTGACTATTTTTCCAAAGTTTAAATCTCTTGTTGAAAATTGCGTTAACACCAAAATTGTCACTCTTTATTCGGATAACGGTGGAAAATATATCGCACTTAGAGATTTTCTTTCGTGTCATGGTATTTTGCATCTTACTTCTCCTCCCCACACACCCGAGCATAATGGTATTTCAGAACGTAAACATCGTCATGTTGTTGAAACCGAACTTACACTTTTATCTTGGGCATCCATCCCTTTGGACCTTTGGAACTTTGTTTTTCCGACGGCAGTCTATTTGATCAATCGTCTCCTCACTCCGGTCCTTCACGGTCGTTCCCCTTTTGACTTTGAGTCATCTCCAAACTATATTAAACTACGTACCTTTGGTTGTCTTTGCTACACGTGGCTTCGTCCTTACTCTAGTCATAGACTACAACCTCGATCGGCCCCTTGTGTCTCTGTGAGTTACTCTCTCACCCAAAGTGTTTTCCTTTGTTTGCATGTTGCCACTTCTCGTTTATATGTCTCTCGTCATGTTGAGTTTGTTGAGTCGGAATTTCCTTACTCTAGGCTTCTTTCAACCTCTCACTCTCCAGTTGACTCTTCTCCATTCCCGTTTGTCTCTCGCTCTTCCCTTGTTCCATGCAAGTATGATCATTCTTATACACTGTCATCCTGAGCTGGTCTCTCGTGTTGTTCCATCACCCGCAAGGAACTCTTCCTCAATGCCTCTCACCTGCTCTTTGCCGCCTTTGTTACCTCTTCAACCTTCTCCGCACTTGATGCCTCATGACCCTCTCGATCCCATGCTTACCGAACCACCAAACATTGCTCACTGACGATCACCCATTCCTATACTCACCGACACACCATCACCTCTTGTTCCCCCACAAAACACTCATCCAATGGTTACTCGCTAAAAAAACGTCTCTAAACCTCACCCCAAGCTTAGTCTTACCTCTGTCCTTCACCCAAACCATGACGTAGAACCTACGTGTGTTTCACAAGCTCTTAAGGATCCAAAGTGGCATGATGCTATATGGTCGAGGAGTTCAATGCCTTGATTCGCAATGACACTTGGACTCTTGTTCCGTCTCGACTGTCTTATAACATGGTTGGTTATAAGTGGGTTTTCCGTACTAAGTGACACTCTGATGGCTCTATTGACAGGTACAAAGCTCGTCTTGTGGCTAAGGGGTTTCACCAACGGTCTGGGATTGATTACACAGACACATTCAGTTCTGTCATCAAACACGCCACAATCCGTGTTGTCTTGACCATTGCGGTTTCCAAAGGTTAGGCTCTTTGCTAACTTGATGTCAATAATGCGTTTCTTCAAGGCATCTTGACGATGATGTATACATGACTCAACCGTCAGGTTTCATCGACAAAGATCAACCATCCTTCGTATGCAAGCTCCACAAAGCTCTTTACGACCTCAAGTAAGCCCCCCGAGCGTGGTACAATGAACTTGGTCGGTTTCTCCTTAAGTGTGGGTTTGTTAACTCCTTCTCCAATACCTCATTGTTCATTCTTACCCGTGATATTGTTACTATCTATGTTCTTGTGTAAGTTGATGATATCATTATCACGGGTAGCCACTCGAAGGATGTGCAGAGTTTCATTGATGTACTCGCTCGTCGGTTCTCTATCAAAGATCTCGGCTCATTATCCTACTTTCTTGGCATCAAAGTCAACCGCATATCAACTGGTGTTCTCCTCACTCAACGACTGTACATTTCTGACGTTCTTGCACAACATTTTATGGCATATGCCAAGGCTGTACCAACCTGCTCCCGTCTACCTTGAGCCTCCGACTCAACTCCGGGTCTCCTCTCGCCGATCTTACCGAGTACCGTCAGATTTTGGGTAGTTTACAATATCTTCTTTTCACTCGACATTGCATTTGCCGTCAACAAGCCATCTCAATACATGCATCGCCCGTGCTAGGATCATTTGCAAGCCCTCAAGCGTATTCTCCGATATCTGAATGACACTCGATCCCTCAGAGTTTTCATCTCACGTTCCTCTCCTCTCTCACTACATGCATTCTCGGATACCGACTGGAGAGGTGATCGTGATGATTTCTCTTCGACGGGAGCTCACATTATCTATCTCGGACGCACTCTTGTATCATGGTCGTCCAAGAAACAACGCTTTGCTACAAAATCTTCCACTGAGGTCGAGTATAAATCAGTTTCCTCGACGGCGTCCGAGGTACAATGGCTTATGTCTTTCCTCTCTGAGCTCGGTGTCACGTTCTCTCACATGCCAGTTATTTATTGCGACAATGTTGGTTCTACATATCTATCGACAAATCATGTTTTTCATTCTCGGATGAAACATGTAACCATTGATTATCATTACATTCGAGGTCTCGTTCAAGCTCAGAAATTTCGCGTCTCTCATGTTTCATCTGCGGATCAACTTGCCGATGCTCTCACCAAATCTCTTCTACGCCAACGGTTTGAGCTTCTTCGGTCCAAGATCGGTCTTCTATCCGACACCGATCTTGCGGGGACATGTTAGTATATTGATATATTATTATTATCTATTACAATTATTTTCCTAAAATATGCCACTAATTATACTTAATTTCTTACATGTTTTCTTTCATGTCTCCTCCATGTTTTCTTCCATGTTTTATGTCATTATGTCTTTTATGCAATGTATATATATGAGATGTAATCCTCATCATAAATTCATTCAATCACATTTTCATAAACCAAACTCTATCAATATGCATTCGGTATCGTAGAGTTCATACCGAATATAACTATAACCGAAATCTCGAATGGAGGTCTATATATAACCATTTTATTATAATCGACACATAACATTATATGAGATCATAGGCTTAGAATTTGCCAAATATATAACTGAAGCCTATGGACCGTTTCTGTCGACGGAGTTTGTTTTGTGGTCCAAAAATTCCGACACACATCTGCATTTGTTATCAACACAATCATAATTTCCACACAAATCTTTCAGCTTCGCTGCACAATCCTCTGCTTTCTCGCACCTGAAGTTGATTACTTTGTATCTCGCCTCCGCCACTTGGCAAATATCTGCAACGTTTATATACATATAGCAACCATTATATTACGGTCGTGTATATATATATATATAGAAAACTATATATATCCTCATATATATGATCGTGCATGTGAAATTTGCGTGAAAGAAACGAGCAATATAAAATAAGATCGATACTTACGAGAAACAGTGATTAAAAATGCTATAAAGATTGCTAGCTTCACCATCTTTGTTGCCGCCATATCGTTAGTCTCTTTTTCTTTGTATCTTTTTTTTTTTCTCTTGAGTGCAATGTTTTTTTTATGAAACTAAATAGTGGCGAATGGTGAGTATATATAGATGTAGTATAGGGTGTCTATTTATCAAGATGATATAGTATTTGGGAATACAATAATAGTATTCTAGAAGATTAGGATATTACCTTAGATTTGATTTTATTTTGTATTTATAGATATTTATATTCATTAACTAAGATATTTTGAATTGACTTTTATATTTATAAATATTGTAATTAATATAAATATGTAAACTTTTAAACAAAAAATCTCATCTTCATAACTGCTCTTTATAATTATAATGGCTTGCTATTATAATTGTGTTTTTCTTTAAAATGAAATTTATTCTGATTTATTACAATAAGGCAAAACACCTGATTATTCTTTTTCTTTGTATCAACTTCAAAATCGAATATTGTGCGGATTAGATATGGATACAGATATCTCAAAAATCTCAGATATCTGATTTGTGCCCAACCCTAGCTTAGTGTACTTAGGCTCTTTGCTAACTTGATGTCAATAATGCGTTTCTTCAAGGCATCTTGACGATGATGTATACATGACTCAACCGTCAGGTTTCATCGACAAAGATCAACCATCCTTCGTATGCAAGCTCCACAAAGCTCTTTACGACCTCAAGTAAGCCCCCCGAGCGTGGTACAATGAACTTGGTCGGTTTCTCCTTAAGTGTGGGTTTGTTAACTCCTTCTCCAATACCTCATTGTTCATTCTTACCCGTGATATTGTTACTATCTATGTTCTTGTGTAAGTTGATGATATCTCTTCTTCTTCTTCTTCTTCTTCTTCTTCTTCTTCTTCATCATCATCATCATCATCATCATCATCATCATCGAAAGAAAATTGTTGAAAATGAATCATACACAAATCTTCCCAACGCCTTTCTCCCCTGTAGCAGTTACACCACAACCAGTCAAGACTATAGGCCCCATAACCATATCTAACAAGCACTTCCACGTTGGACCTGCCAAACTCTCTAGTACTTCCACAACAATTCGTACACGACTGAGAGCATTAATTAATTGGATTTGGACTACAGTTCAGGTTATGTAACAAAGAAAGAACATAGTCAGCGGGTTACCTGTGCACAAAGCTCGGAAGTTTTCTGCAAGAGGAAACATTTCAAACCAGTTACAATGTTGAGATTGAACTTCGGTTTACATAAATATCATAACAAACATCAACAGCCATGGTACCTGCGGTTTTGGGGACTGTCTTCCCGAAGAGACCCATAACAATGCGACCTGTGACATGTCGGAAGCTAAGTAAACATTGGAACAAAAGAAACCCTACATCTCGACAGGACCAATGAGGAAATGAGAGTATGATCTGAACGAGAGCACAAAGTGCTGCTGTCAACAGAAATGTAAGCCCTGTGTATACAACGTATTTAAGCTTGAAGAAAGGAGAGCCTCGGAGCAGTGAGCCATACCAGCAGGTTTTCCATCAATCTCCACATCGAAATAAACCTTGTGAGTGACCTTTGGATCTTCCTTTGCCTGATATAAGTGGATGTGTTCATCAAAAAATCAATTGAGCATCATACAAGGAAGAAAACTGTTCAATGTTCATGGTTCTCAAGCTAAAAGATCCCATAGAAAACATATCTCGAGACATGTAACAAGCTTCTTATCACACAAAAAGCAAGTAGAGTGGACAAATGGAAAACCAAGGTTCAATATCTGTTCGGATCGAAAATTCTACCAAGACTTCCTGATAGATCCTTTTTTTTGGAAAAAACAGCAAAATGGAACTTATCTCTGCATGTTCATGTGAGACAAAAATCAAATAACGAAAAATTCGAAGAGATCATAATAGCAACACTTGACAGAACAAAATCACGAAAAATGTCAGGATTCTCGTTTTTCAACGACAGATCTAGAAGAGGAAAGCGCCAACAAAAGGAACTGAAACTTGGGTTACAGATCGGGATCATTTTGCCCTAGATTCGTTGCCGTAGGAATAATACACAAAATCGAACAGAGTCAGAGAATAGAGAGAAGAAGAAGTTACCTGAACAAGTGCTAGGGTTCCAAAAAGGAAGAGACTCCATAGCAGAACTGAGCTCGCTCTCACCATCTCCGTGATCGCGAAAAAAAAAACAAAATGCGTGGAGCAGATGGGATCTTTAATAAATAGAACAAGAAGGGAGACACGCAGTATGGGCTCCGTAATGGGCCTTTTGGAGGGAGTGGGCTTTTAGATTTTAAATGCTCAGATTAAATAATTCTTCTCAAGAATCCCCCCACGCCACGCGCTTCAGAACTTGCAAATTTCGGGTTCCAGAAACTAAAGAATTTCCTTGGAGCGTGCGCTCCACACGCTTTAACTGCGCATAGGGAACTGGCAAATTCAGAGACAAAAACCGTCGTTGGTTACGACGACGTGATAGTTCAGATCCTGGTGGCTTCTTGGTCGTCAGGTGAAGATGGAAAACTTGACCAATGGCTGCAAACCGTTCTTGCTCCAAGATTCTTGGAAGCTAGACACAAGTACGGTTCCGCTCCCCGGTCCGGTGTGAAACTGGTCGCCTGCATGGGTTTTCCGGCAAAGGTCGACGTGCTCTGATTATAGCCAATGTATATACGTACGTAACTGGTTATTACAGTTAATCTCGGTTGTTCTGTGATCGGGTGGGTTTTGTAATTAGATGTGATTTTGGCAATTTGATCTCTCCCTAATCTTTGGGGGTTAAGCTTTACCAAAATTCCCAAAGTGAGTTTCTTTGGTATTTACCTAACTTGGGTAGTTCACAGACACAAAGCGTATGTTCTGCCCCGAGTTCTACTCTCAAAGTGGGGATGAAGCGTATAATTCATAAATGGAAATGGCTTTTATTTTAGGTTTTTTATTTTAGTTTTTGGATTTTGATTTTTAGTTTTTGGCTTTTGGATTTTATAATATTTGAAAACTCACAAAAAGTCATTGATTTTTTCACTAAAATGGTTTTCCAAGTTTTTAGTAAAAGTAATTTGGTAAAAACTTGAATGATTCTAAAAACTCCCACCATTCAAGGCCCAAATCAAATGGGTGGTTGTTGGTCACGAGAGATTTCGGCGTATGCTTAGTTATAAAAAAAATATCTTTTGCAGAGTTCATGCCGTTTGTAATCCCCCTTAAACGGCGAGTATTGCCCGTTTCTCCAAGGGAACAAACAAAAACGGCATGCTTTTTGGGTGAAGTTGCAGCGTTATTTGCACGTAAACTAAAAAGAAGCAAAAGTCGAAGCAAAGAAAGCTAAAAGAAGAAGCATTAACAAAAACTTTCAGTCTCTCAAAGAAGATGATATGGAAATGTAATAAAAGTACATTTAACAAAATCCTTATTTCTATGATCTTGTCTAATGACGACCCCGTAAGCCATTATTCCATTATTTTTTTACTTAGTTGATTTTTTTATCATCAGAAGCGTAAACATAGAGATCGGGATCGGTCTCGTAAAAGACTATATCTCCGGTATCGCTCACGTAGTGATCCTTCTTGATGCTCGAAACCAAACTCTCGACCAGGTGAACCGGGATCGGACCCGACTTCTTTGGCTCGCGATAGTATTTCCCAAGCACCGGTTTAGCCGCTTTCGTCTGTAACCGAAAACCGATTTTTAATTAAACCAAGGTTATTATTGTGTTAGTGGCATATATAAACACACTTACAGCTTCGACCAAGTGATAATGAGGGATCTGAGGGAAGAGATGGTGCACGACATGGGTTCCGATGTCGTGGTGGATGTTGTTGAAGATGCCGTAATCACGATCAACGGTTGTCAATCCTCCACGTAAGTAACTCCACTCCTGGACATGAAATTATATTAGTTTATTTTTTTTATTAATTATAAAGAATATAACACACAAAATATGCTGGCACATTGTGTAATACATTATACCTTTCCCCGGTACCAAGGCAACTTCTCGTCATACCCATGGTGATGCAAATACGTCACGGCGTCCAACCACATAACAAATATCTGAAATAATACGATACCATATACCATTACTGTTATTATTATTATTATTACATAGGAAATTGAATAAATATACACACACATATACGTATACCATGTAAGGAACGCCGTAGACTTTGATGACGGGGATTGGACCGACGAGGGAAGAGAGATAAAGGAGAACGGCAACCATAATGGACCAACATGTAGTAGAAGTGGCCGCCAGCGTTCTCTCGTTTGGGGCAAAGATATTGCTGTAGGGGTTGAAATGCGATCCTTCTTTCCCGGGACTACGGTACCACTGCCACCATTATATATTTCATTGTTATCCACAAATAATTATTCAACCGATGGTAAATAAATTATAAATCAAATAAAGGGTTGGTAAAATAAATCAACAGAACAATTACCAAATACAAAGGGTAGGCAAATATGGGGAATGGAACGGTGAATCTGAGCATCCGAGTACTGTGGGGCAATTCCTTGTACAGCTTCTCCGGTAACTGAGATTTTCATATTTATATAGTTAAAAATATAATATATATATATATAAATATATGGAAAAGGAAGAGAGAAGGATACCGGAACCCAGGACTCGTCGTTTTCAACGTGGCCATGATTCTGGTGGTGGGTGCGATGGCTGATTCTCCTGTCACCCATTTTCACAGTTAACACATATTTTATTCCGATTATTTTGGAAAAATGCGAATTAATAAATATATTAATTTAATTTAAGAGAGAGGAAGAGAGAGAAGACGTACCAACCATGGTAAGGAACCAGGATGAATGAATGAAGAATGTGACCAACAACACTGTTTAGTAGGGGAATGTCTGAGAAGCTCCCATGCCCACTGCCATTTTCAATTAATCCCTTATTTATTCACCTAATTTATTTTTTATATATTAATATATATATATATAATAATAATATATATACATACAAACATTAAATATACAAGATACAAATTTCTATTCTATTTCACATTTATCCGGCCTATTTAATACACAGATAAAATATTTTTTACTTTTTTTGCCAAGCCTTGGAAACTTTTAACAATAGCGAATGATTTTTTTCCTTGTACAACAACACTGATAATGACCTTATAATAGGAAAAACAAATTGAAAAATAGAAAATTTAAGAATTGACAACCCAAAAATAAAAATTCAGTGCACTTGGACCCCGTTTTCATATTAAGAAATCACGAAGACACCCTTCCACATAGATCCAATAAATCTAAACATTAATTTCTTTTCTAATTCAGAAAAAAAAAACGATGCATGGATCCAAAAATATCTGCCCAGAAATCACGGATCCCATTCGCTATAATATTACAAAAATATTCAACACCCTTAAAAACCGAAAGACCACCCTCGAACGTGCATTCAAGAAATCGAGGCAAATACAAACAAACAAACGTTAAAAGAACAATTTTTTTTTTTGGCTTAACCCTAATATTTCACCGACACAGTATCGGACATTGAAACAAAAACACGTTTATACATATGAAAGCCGACAGGATTACAGGAGGAGAAGAGAAAGAGAATTAATTACCAGTCATGGCCGAGGACGAAGATTGCCCAGAAGAGGGTCCCTTGAGCGACCCAATAGAGAGGCCAAAAGAGCCAACTGTCGGCGTAGACGGCGGCGACGGCCAACGCCGCGACGGAGCAGATGTCTCTGACGACATAACTCAGGGACCGCCACGTGTTCTTCTCCCAGCAATGCCTCGGAATCGCCGCCCTTATGTCCCCTATCTTGAACGGCGGCATCGCACTCGCGTCGAATACGCCGTCGTTTTGCTTCCCACCCTCCATTTCCATGGCTCCACAGGGAGAGAGAGAGAGAGAGAGAGAGAGAGAGAGAGAGAGAGAGAGAATATTAGTTTCTGTGGTTCCAAATTTGAAGGAATATGGCTTTTGGGTTTTGCGAGTTCTCTCCTTATATATATATATATAAATAATAACAGAGGGAAGATATGCAGACGTGAAAATGGCTGTAAGTGAAGAGTCTTTTTTTTCTTCTTTTTTAAAATTAAAAAATAGTAAATTGAAATTTAATAGATTCACATTGTTTTGGAGAAGCTGTCAAAGGGAGACAAAAGGGGTGAATTTCTTTTTAAAATGATTCATTTAATAGTTTTGACTGTCATTTTAGGGGAGAGATTTATTATATGTATCTTTTACTTTTTGTCCCTTTTTACCCCTTAAATTAACGTAAGGATATCGCATAAATTCAAATATAATAACTATTACCATATACGGACGACAAATGGATGCTATTTTTTCAATTCTTTTACTACATTACCGTCGGAAAGTTAAAAAAAAATAAAAAAAATAAAGTCCTTCAAGAAAATAATAACTAATCTTGTGCCGTCAATTGATTCAATTCTCTTTTTCTTTGTAGATTTCTATTTAGAGAATTTGGACTGCCTTCATCACACTGGAAAGAG